TGGTGGATTCCTCTGATTCCTCCATTAGCATCGTGTAATCTATGTGGAGTCAATGCTGGCTGATCTGTTTTTGTGTAACTGCTGCATCTCTTACAACCTGCTTGGAAAATCTTAACTCCATTACAGAGTCATGGCTTCAAGGAATGCGCCGTCTAATTTTTGTCGCGCATATACTTGTTCACCATCTGACGTAATGTCATATAGGGTACGTTAAAAAGACCCGTTCTCCGTAAATCTGGAACGGGCGACGTTTTGCGCCGCTCTTTCCCCTTGCCTTCTTCTTGGCTGGTTCTTCTTGAAGAGGAGGGCCCCGATCTGGAGGAGGACTTATTGAACTGCTGGGGATAGCTTCGGGTCGACGTGGCACTTCTGGAACAAAGAACCAATTATCTTCCTAACGACTTCCATTGAAACAAACCGCCACTTGAAACGGAATTCTTGCGCCTTGCACTGGCGGACGGCGCCGCAAGATAGCGCCGTGCGCAGCGAAGGGGAATGGGGGAATCAACGTGATCTTCGAAGCTGTACCGGAGCGGACCGGAGGTACGAATGGAATTCTGAATGAACGCAACCGGTTGCTGAAACAATTTTGAGCCGTAAGCGCTACTGATAATGCAGATTCTACCATTCGAGAACTATTTGGAACTAGTCCCATTTATATCTCAGTGTGGAGGAAAGAGGGATGGATTGTTGGTGTACACATCCTTTTCCTTTGCCCGCCCTATCGGCGCTCTGCCGCGGGCTTCGTAACTTGGATTCAAAAGTGCTCGCAGAGGTTTACTAAATTAAGTTCGACAGAATTTTAAATTACCATACTTTGATCCCTTGCTGCTGCAATTTTGCCCCAAACCTGCTGCGAATCCTCTGTCGGACACGGGCGAATAAGATAAGCTCTGGCAGGCCGATCGATCCCGGAAAATTCAAGGAGATCGCCGACAGCATGAAATTTGAACATGCCCTCAACAACTAATCCTGGAACTTGGAAGGCGCATCCTCGAGGAAAAGGGGGAATATTTCATTAGCTTATCGATGTATTTTTCGTTCATCGATATGATAGTTCGTTCTACTCTGGAAACGTGTACTGTCGTTTTCGGAGACAACCCGGAAATACAATAATTCACATACTTTTTTTAATGCAATATTATCATAACTCGATACTTGCATCCTATATACATACAACACTAGTTTCACGAGTTAATACTTTTGTATGGGTGGTGTAAGTTTACCCGTCATGTAAAACGTATTAACTCGCGAATCAATTCTTTTTAGCTCGTAATTTCAATCTCTTCCGTCAGTATGTAGGTGGGCACATATATATATATATATATATATATATATGTATGTGTGTATATATGTACATGTATATAGCTACTTCCACTTCCCAGATGCCAGGGCGATGTATTTCTTGTGGGGGGCGAGCGCGGGAGGGCGAGGCCACGGCGCCCGGGGGCTATGCAAACAAAAGCTGATCCCGGCGAATGCCGCGCACCTTCAGATATACTTTCAGGAGCCACCTGGGACACTGTGCAAACGAGAGAGAGAGAGAGAGATAGAGAGAGAGAGCAAGGGGGGAGAGGGGGGGGAGGCCTGAGCGGAGATGGCCACAGATGTCCATCAAGTGCGGCAACTTCGCCGTGGGACGCAGCATGCACTTGTCAAAAGGATCAGCTACTTCCACTTCCCAGATGCCAGGGCGATGAATTTCTTATGGGGGGCGAGCGCGGGAGGGCGAGGCCGCGGCAACTGGGGGCTGTACAGGCAAAAGCTGATCCCGGCGAACGCCGCGCACCTTCAAATATACTTTCAGGAGCCACCCGAATTCCGCATAGCAGTGCTGGCCACGACAGATGGCCGAAAAAACGAAGTACGCACGTACATACTGATAGAAGCCTTAGACCTCCACAACGTTACGCACTGACAACATCAGAGCCTAGGGGAGGCTATACAATCTCGAGGGCTGCTTTCATCATCCAATCTTCCTTGAGAGCATTGGCAGAGTGTATGAGAGCACGGGCAGCAGCACGGGCAAACTGAGGTGAGTACGCTGCGGCCAACTCGGTGCGGCGGGCCGGCGCACCCTTATCCCGACCCTGGAGGATGAGGTGAGGCAGGCCGGTCGAGGAACAGATGCCACTCTTGCCTGTGCACGATCTACATAAGCTGGGGAAAACGCCTGCGTTCCATCAGGCGACCGACGTGGGCTTCTTGAAAGGCGTGCCGAACTGGCGCATGTCCATCTTGAGGACAATGCACGATGAATGAGAGAGCTACTTGACCATTTCAGGAGCATGCCAAATAAGCGACCCACGAGGGTTTTCTAGAAAGACTGGGCAGCCGATCTGGATGCAGAGCCGGATGGGCCGGCAAGAAAAGTGGAAAGAGCGATCGCCAAGGCGGAGGCGGTGCAGACGAGCGCCCTCTAGCCCTGGTTTGCCCGTCGGATACCGCGTCGACCGCAAAGGGTCCCTGAGCGCTTAAGACCAAGAAGTGCAGAGTGTGCCGAGCCGCAGGCCGACAACGGCCTTGCCCAGCAGCCAGCCTCGCACAACTGATTCGAAGGTGTAGCTGAGATGGTCCTCCACGGCCCCATGGGCGATGTCCACGTCGAGGCAGCCGTGGCCCATGTCGCGAACGCGCTGGGAAATGCGACCACATCCTGCGAACGGCTCAAGGAACAGGCAGCTCCTCCACTTGTCGGCGGCCGCCCGGGCGCGCCGGTATCGCCGATGCAGATGCAGCCTCGCGGCCGCCGGCGACGCGGTCAACGCCGGCGTGCCCGCTTGGCGGCGGGGGCCCCGGGCCCTGCCGGCAAGCGGGGGCGGAGGGAAGCTGGCGCCGCGTCCGCGACCAGCGGCAGCGACGGGCCGCCCCGGAGGACGTCCAGGAAGTACTGCTCCACGAGCTCCCCGAACAGTAGCACGTCGGGGTCCACCTTGGCAGCCCCCCGTAGGAGGCGGGTCTCCTTGCCGTGCCGGCGCAGAGAAGCCATGGTGGCCCAGCGGCCACGCCGCATGACTTGCTCCGCCGTCCTCGCACCTGGCGGCAAGTCCTCGCTGGCCCCCCCCGTGGCGGAGGGAGTGCAAGTGGGGCTGCAGGTGCATTGGGCCCAGGGCGTGGCGCGCGTCCACGAAGAGCCGAGCAATCGACGTGGGCTGGAAGTCCCAGAGGGGGCCGTCCCCCGCCACGATCCTCAGCGCCTCCAGGGCGGGCTCGAGCCAGGGCGCCTGGTCCAGGAGCACGCTCTCGTCCCACAGGTTGGTCTTCCCGGGCAACTGGAGGTCCGAGTCGCGCAGCGGCAGGCCCCGCGGTGTCGGAGCTTGGCCCAAGTGGGCCACCGGCGGCGCGAGGTGCCGCCCCGCCAGCCGGAACGCTTCCTGCGGGCGGAGGTAGGCCACGAACGACGCCATGATGAACAGGCCCATGCGCGGTTGGCCCCACGCTGCCAGCGTCCCTGCGATGGCGAGAGCAGCCCGGCGGGGCAGCGGCAGGCGCATCCTGGTCGGCACCCGGCGGCGCCAGCCCGCCAGGCAGCGGGTCGCCCGCGGCAGGGCCTGCGCGGTCCTCCTGTACAGCGCCGGCGTGTAGTGGGCCAGCGCTGCCAGAAGAAGCGAGCCCTCGTTGGGGGCGCGACCCTCGAAGTACATCGACAGGCCGCCGGAGGCCCCCCGCGTCGCCGCCAACTGGCGGGCAGCGGCGGCCCGGCGCTGGCGGTCCGCCTGGCGCCGAATAGCCGCAGGTCCCGGCATCGGGCTCCTGCCCTGGCGCAAACGACGCGGTGGTCGCTAGGCGCCAGGTGGGGCCCTGTGAACCAGCCAAGACGGCCGCGGGACAGGGGGTCGGCAGGGTTGAACCCGCTGCAGGTCCAGCGAATGTAAATCGTACAATTTGAACGCAAGGCCATACAACGTAGTTTACGAAGTGTACGGCGGGAATGGATAGACGCAGCCCCTCCTTTGCAACGCCCCAGGGCTAACGGCGTGTTGTCGACGAACAATAAGATGCGCTTCCCAAAAGCAGCTCTGGACCTCAAGATGTGCTTGATACCCAAGATACACGCGTCCCCTTCCAAGGCTAAGATGTTGTCGGGCACGACGACCCTCGAGGCGATGACCGGAGCCCAGCGAGCCCCGTCGAAGAACTCCCGGGGGGCCTCCATGGACTCCCGAGGGCGCGCCCTGATGAAGGACTCGAGGCCCGCGATGTCCAGGCCGTGCGGTCCCGTAGGCAGCGAAGCTGTACCTGATGTGGGCGATGGCAGAGGCTGGGGTTGGAAGACTCTCTCACGCGCCCTCTCGGCGCCATGTACACGGTGCCGCCATCGCTCGCGCTGGCGGCCATGCTGCGCCGCAGCGCTCGGCTGCACAGACCGCGCGGCCACGCCGACTCCGAACTCGGAGGCGTCGCCCACTCCGACGATGTCGTGCCGCGGGCTGCTCGAGTCCTTCTGGAGGAGGGGCAGCGGCGAGCGGACCAGCCAGAGCTCCTCACGCACGGAGCCCCGCATCCAGGAAGTCGTGGGAAGGCCGGCCGCGATGCACGGGTACACTGCGCTCAGCACACACGCACAACAGCTCCCAGCGTAACGAGCAGGCCCACGTGATATGGCCGACCAGGACCTCCAGCATCTTGCTTGAGCAGCAGCCACGGCGCAGCACTGTGTCCAGCGGTGCGCGCAACCGCCGCAAGTTGCGACGCCTGACCGAGAGCCAGCGGCCCTGCCTGAGCTCCAGCCCCACCAAAACGGCGTCCGTGGAGGCGTCCGTCTCCTCGTGGACCGTGAGGCCCCACCCCCTCAGGACTGCGGACACGTCGTCCCGGCGCTGCGTGGCCAGCGGCGGGTCGTGGCCGAAGACGTAGAAGTTGTCCACGTAGCCCGCGGCGGCGGTTGAGGTGGGGGTGGGCAAGCCCGCGCTCGCCCGGCCGTCCTCCACGATCTGCGAGTCCGAGAAGCCAGCCACCGAGATCGCCCGCGTGGTCGCGGCCTGGCAGAAGTGCATCGCCTACGACCACCCCATGGGCAGGGTGGTGAGGCACGGCGCCAGGCAGGTACCCGCAGGGAGGGTGACGCCATTGAGCTTGGCGACGCCGGGCAGGGTGGGCGACAGCGTCGGCAAAGTGAAGTAGTCCTCGAGGCCCGACATGGGCCGGAGGCGGTAGAAGGCACTGTCGAGGTCGCCGCTCGCCACGTGCAGCGGCTGGCCGCCCGACTCCACCGAAGACGCCGCAGCCGCCGTAGGCAGACGCGTCGGAGGTGCCGGGTGGAAGTGGGCGTTGGCGTACCTCGTGTCGAACACGATGCGAAGTCGTCCAGACTTCTTCCTCGCAAGAAATGCACCTATCATGTGCCTGTCAGTGGGGGCCACCTTGAAGCGCAGCATGCCGCGTTGGTGAAAACGCCGAACAAATTCACCATGCACCACTGGGTCCCGTGCCACAGGAGAGTCAACGAAGGGGCCCCGAGGGCAAGCTTGCCGGGCTCCCTGCAGCGCCTCGTCGGGCGTCTTGAGCAAATTCAGTCGCCAATCCTGTGCCCAGTCGGCGTCGTCCTGAGTGAGGCAGCCCTGAGGGTCGGTAGGGCTGGCCCCCACCTCAGGCCAGGAGACTAGCTCCTTGGAGTACGGGACCCGGGCGCCGCTGTCGTCGGAGTAGACGGCGGAGCCGCTGAGAAGCTCGCGGAGGGCTTCTTCACAAAAACCTGGCTCGCTCGGCATCGCGCCCATGCCCAGGTAGCAGTCCTCCAAAAACTTCAAGCTGGTCTGCTGTCCCAGGTTGGCGGGCGCCGACGGAGGTTCGCCAGAGTGGCCGTGCAGGCGGTTGAGCGCATCCACGCCGTGGTCAGCCCACTGCAGCAGCACATCGGAGCGGCGGGCCCGCTGGCGGACGGCGCGGCAAGGACGGCGGTCGGCAGCGCGAACAACACGACGGGCCACACGAGGCAGCGGAAAAATATCCCGATGACGCTGATCACGGGGGGCGGCGAGCTCGCCGCGAAAAAGGGCCTGACGCTCGAGCTTCGACGCAGCAGGTGGCCCCGCGTCCCGCTGCGCCGTCTCCTTCACCCCTTTGAATCGTCCTTGTCCTTGTCCTTCTTGCCCTTCTTGTCCTTGTTGTTCGGGGTGCGGGCGGACTGGCGCTCCTCCCTCGCCTTGCGCCTCTCCGTCGCCGCGGCGTACTCCTTGGCCAGCTCGCTGCCGACGTGGGCAAGGAGCTGAGGGTGCACGCGAACATTGCCGCGATTCGACGAGGTGCCGTAGAAGAGGTGTGAGTCCAGCGACTCGTCGGCGGGCGAGACGAACCGCTCGCGCCACCTCTCCTCCTGCACCTGGATGCTGCGGCAGACCATCTCCGCTGACGCGATGTGACGCGATGTCCGGCACGTTCAGCTGATCGAAGCACACCATCTGCTCCAAGTAGGCGCAGCACCGTTCAGGCTCGGCCACGCCCCCGTCGGCGAGCGAGAGGCGGCCCTCCGACCTCCACTTGCTGTGGCGCCCGAGGGGCGACAAGCCGTTGTCCTTCATGAGCTGGCAGACCCACACCGTCGTGCGAGGGCCGGAGATCGGCCAGTCCGGCCACTGGTGCTCCACCATGCGGGCGACAGCGTCGCCGAAGCCAACCCGCCCGGCTGCACGCGCGGGTCGGCGGGGGCCCCAGGCGCCACGGCGGCGGCGGCCGCCCCAAGCGGCGGCGCCGCGAGCGCGAGCGCGAGCGCAGGCGCTGGGGCCGGCGCCAGCTCGCCGCCCGGCGGCGCCGCCGCGGCGGGCGGAAGCGGCAGGGGCGCTCCAAGCGCCGCCGCTGGCCCGCCGAGGGCAGCCACCAGCCCGGCCACGCCCGCAGCAGGAGCGGCGGCGGGGCCCACGGCGGGGGGCGCCAGCCCGACGGGCGCCCCGGCGGCCGGCCCACCGAGCACTCGACCCGCTGCATTGGCCACGATGGGCCCAAGGGGAGCGGGGATGCCCAGTCGACCAGCCGCGGCGGCTACGGCCGTCAGGATCGTGGCCGGCGTCGGCAGGCTGCGAAACCTGTAGTAGCGAGCCCCGGGAGCCCACTGCATCGTGCCGCCGGCAGCGCCCCCAGGGAAGATATCCCACCTCAGCACGTCCGCCGAGGCCACGTACTTCTCCTCATACTCGTCGTCATCGGGAGTGAGTATGCTCGCAACGTCCGGCCGCCCAGGCGGCACCAGCAGCACGAGACGCTCGTGGATCAGCGCGACGCCACCTCCAACACTGTACTGCACACCGATGAAGTCTCCAGGCTGGACGCCGGAGGCCGCCACGGAGGCGTACGCGGGCGGCGCTGCGTCCGCCATCAGCACTGCAAGGCCTTAGCGCGCGCCTCGCGCGCCTGGGCCCGGGCCTGCTGCTCGAAGTCGGGCTGCTCGAAGGGGCCCGACGCGGCGTCGTGCGGCCCAGCGCGCCGGCCGCCCAGGCACCAGAAGGCCCCCGCCGTGCTGCAGGCCCCGGCGAGCCCGCTGGCGGCGCAGACCAGCGCCACCGCCCAGAGGCCCGGCCCCTGGCTGCTCGAGCCCTGCAGGCCTGAGCAGTCGCAGCGCAGCTCCAGGCAGTGCAGCTGCGGCGCGCAGGTGCACTCGGGGCACTGCCCCGCCCCCTGGCTGGCCGCGTAGAGCGCCAGACCAGTGCTCAGCCCACGGCCCACCTCCGGGGCCAGCGCGCCAGCCGCCGCGGAGACAGCGGAGAGCATGCGGGCGGGGTTCGCTCGAGGCTTGAGCGAGATGGCCACAGACGTCCATCAAGTGCGGCAACTTCGCCGTGGGACGCAGCATACACTTGTCAAACTGATCATATATATATATATATATATATATATATATATATATATATAGGTATTGTGCGTGCGTGTACCCAGTTTCCGTTACACAGAGCCGGTAATCAATGTAAGTTACGGAAATCCGGAAACGTGCCGGTACGTCTAAAAACATTGGCGAATAGTGTCTGTCATGGGGCATCCGACGCGACCATACCCGTTTGGGTAGTCGGGGAAACATCCTCATTCATGCGTGTACTGATACATGTATGCACGAAAAATGCATGTTGAAACCAAACCATATCTATCTTTCAACCGCGGTGTCCGGTGATCCGATTCGGGGTCGCTTCCGAACCTCTGTTGTTCGCACATGTTGTTCTTTCGAGCGAGGTTCTGCTTATTTTGCAGCGACGTCCCTCCCCGACAGGTGGCCGACATCAATCCAACAAACGGAAACCACAACAAGCGTTCAGCCAACCAAGAATGGGTGTGCGTGCCCATGCGCGCCGGATTTAGGTATGCCCATCGTGCGTTCGTGCGGGAAAAGCCAGAATCCCATCGTCCGCCCAGGCGTGGAACCCCCACCCGCCCTCTGGGCCAAGGTTGTATTTCAGGCTCTCTCTTGCCTCTTCCAACGAAGCCCCCGCTCTCCTTTCTGGGGGAGGGGTTTGCCCTCGCCCTACCCCCCCTCCCAGGGGGCTGGAGGGGCCCGCCCCGCGGGTCGTCGGAACATAACTCTTGGCTCAAGATGTCTTCAAGAGGGACCCAGAGGCTCCAAGATGGCTCCCACCACAGTCGCAGACGGTTCAAAATGGCCTCCGACATACTTCGGAGAAGGCCAAGAGGGCCACTACGAGACGGCCCAGAGCCCCCAGAGGAACTCCCAAAGAGGTGGGAATGGGGCAAAAGCCTTGGGAGAACTCATGCTTGTTGCCTTCGCGCCTCTTGGCTCTCCATGGGCCTGTGGGGCCTCAAGAACATCCCAAGAGAGCCCCAAGAGGGGCCCATTAGCGCCCAAATATGCATTTTTCTGACCGGCGGGGAAGGGGGGGCTCAAATTTTGGGCCCCTCTTTTAGCCATGGGGCCGAATATCGCCCCAGTACCCCCGCAAGAGCTCCAAGCGGACTCAAGGCTTTCCCAAAAGAGCCCCAACAGGGCCCTGAGAGTCTCTGCGTGGCATAGCACATTACGCCCATCCACAACTGTGGCCAACATGCAAGAATGACACATCAAACACCACTATTTGAAATAATGTGGGCGCAACCTTCAAGACTGTCAGATCAACTTCGCACTTGCGTCCAGGATGCATGTGACTGTTGGAACTATGTTGTTTCTGCAATTTGTTCGGAGAGGGTTGCCAGCACATCTCCATGCCCCCCTGGTTGCAAATATGGGTGGCTACCAGATCGCTCGCAACGAACATGATAAACCTCAAGGCCATAACAACAGAAACTGATAATCCGACCAGTGCGTTACAATCAAGGCACCGCTTCTGCTGTTCAAACCTGATGGGGATGCCGTAGCACACAACGTAACGGTTGACGGGTTCGTGCGCTTTGTTTGCTCGTCTGGCGTGCGGTGCCGATAGTGGTACCAAGCGACACATGCCAAGGTTGCGCACGTGCAATGCTGCGCCTTCCAAGTGTTTCGTATCATCATGGCATACCAGCCGTGTAGCGATAGAGTTGGCCACAAGGGGTGCGTACAACAGAACAGGGCTCCTCCTCCTCCTTCTCCGCCTAGTGCAACGCATGGTTCCCTTCCTCCTCTCAGCCAGCGCTAACTCTCTTCACATCGGGCTGCGCGCCTGCTGGTACAACCCTGGCCCAGCATGCCCACCAGACGGCACCTGGCGATTTGGACCGCAGAGGAGATAAGCAAAGCACTGCGGGGAGGATGGAAAGGAGGAGGAGGAGAAGGAGGAGGGAGGGGAGGAGGAGGAGGAGATTAGAGAAAATGTGTGAAAAAAAGATCCTTTTGGATAACGGAATGTGAAGCAAAACGTAAAGCGCGGCTGATAGCAACTCTAATACTGGGCGCGATGCCGGGCCAAACTACAGAAGGGCAGCGGAAGGCACAAGCAACACCCCACAAGGATAGGCTGAAAAAAACAGGGGAGATATCGTTCGACTCTGGTGCTCAAGCGAGCCCGCGCGCTGCGTGAAATCCCACCAGCCCTTTAAGGCGTATGTGGTCTAGGGAACTTCCTCTTCCAACACCCTTTTTTCCCTTCGGGGAAGGGTTTACCCCCCCCTTGCACCTTCCCCTGGACCTGGACGGGGGGTTCCGCGGGTAGTTGGAGTGTCCAAAACGGCCTCGGTGAGGAAACCAAAGTCATTGGTTTTATTTAAGTTTTGGCCCCATTTTGGCCTCCTGGGGGGGCTAATTGGGGAGCTTCCCTCCTCTGACTGATCTCGCCCAAGATGGCCCAACGATGGTCCCCAAGCCTCCCAAGGGTGCCCCAAAAGGGCCCCAACAGGTGGCCAGGCGCCCACAAGAGGCCCGCTGGATGCCCCGAACAGGCTCCCAGAAGACCCCTACAAGGCCCCAAGGGCCCCGCCCAGATGCACCCAATACGCTCCAAGAGGCCTCGGCGAAAACGCAAACATCATTGACTTTAATACGGTTTTGGCTACATTTTGGCCTCCTGGGGGGGGCACTGATTAAGATGACTCCAAGAGCGCCTGGGAGAACGACCTCCAAAATGGCTCAAGATATCCCCCAATGCCTGCGATGGCTCCCACGATGCTCCAAGAGGCCCCAAAACCGCTCCAAGACGGCTCTGAGTGGCCAAAAAGCCCCACCAGGAGGCCCCGAGGAGGCCAACATCCTGCGGGATGGGCTGGTGGGGCTACTTTTTCGGTCGCGGCCGCGGGACGACGGTCAGGCGGCAAGAGCAGATGGTGGGTTTAGTTTTTTTGGTCGGCGGCCGCGCGACAACGGTCTGGCGGCGACAGCGATGCCCGGGGCAACGGAACACGGCAAATTAGACGCGATGCGTGGAATGCACATGCACTGAGCAAAATGCTCCGCATTAAGGCAAACGCACAAAGGGCGTTTTTTTTTTTTTTTTTTTTTTTTTTTTTTTTTTTTTTTTTTTTTTTTTTTTTTTTTTTTTTTTTTTTTTTTTTTTTTTTTTTTTTTTTTTTTTTTTTATATATATATATATATATATATATATATATATATATATATATATATATATATATATATATATATATATATATATATATATATATATATATATATATATATATATAAAAACAACAAGCCCCGCAGGCGGAAGCGCCGGCGGCGGCAGGTCACGGTCGGGCTGCGGCCGTAACAAATTAATTAGCAGGGCAATGGTGGGGATACGCGGAACGTCTAAAATTTCCTGCGATGAGCGCTCCACTGGTCGCGCCTCTCACAAAACAAGTGCCTACTTGCTGCGAGCGAGAACTTACTGGCGGAACACAGGCGGCTGCGTGCGGTTGTTCGCCTGACACAATCAGCTGGAGCAACACTCGCTTGTGTGCTCAACTTCCTCAGTGCTCTCGCCCGTCATTGCCCGCAAACTTGACGACATCGTGGCTGTTTTGGTAATTGGGCCAAACTGTATATCAGTGAGGAGAGTTACGGTGGTCGACCTTGTGACACAGTCACACGAGTCACCTCTTCACTGCTGGTTGAAAGAGCTGTGCTGGGAGCTCGGGACGGATTTCTTCGTCTGCTCGTCGGTGAACTTGACCGTGTCGTGATCGTAACTAATCTGGCTGTCCATCGCGTTGAGGATGGGCTCCCGGCCCATGCTGGCCGTAGTCATGGAGTCGGGCCCCGAATGCCGCACCAGAGGAGGTCCTCAATCAGCTTGGTGCGCAACTGGTCAGCTAACCACCACAAGTGGCCTGCCATAAGGCGGCTGCGCCTGGTCCAGGAGCAATGCGCTGACAAGATCAGCAGGGATGGCATGACCTCCTTCCTCCGTCAGCCTCCTGTTCTCCTCTGCAGAGGCCAGGCCGTGCACCGTTTCGCACGGCGTGGGGAAGTGCGCCTGCAGTCCGTCGGCTGCGGCGCATGCTGCGGCAGCTCTCAACCAAGCGAGAATCTGCGCACCAGCTTATGCGATCGGCTCACTGCGTCCAGCAAGTGGCACGTCTGTTTGCCTGTGCGGCAGCCCTTGCCGAAACGCATGCATGCGACTCTCTTCATGCCGCGCCCTGTCTCCTCCTTCCTCTTGAACGACCCGTCGCGGTGCGCGCTAAGTCGCCCGGCGAACTCCATAGCTTGACATATGATGCGTGCCCTGATTTCCTGCGTGGTCAGAGCGACGGAATTGAGCTGCATCGCGTCTCGGATGAGCAGCTTGTTATTGGCTCTCTGCATGGCGACGATGTGCGCGGCTACGTGATGCGGGATGAGGAGGGCGTAGGCCGCTGCTTACAAAATGATACGAAAAAGGTCTGGAAGCTGACCTTCGGCCGGCTCGTCAGCCATGGCCTTG